CATACCAAGTTTTATTGCAATATGAAAACGCTTAAGTTGTTTTTCGAAATTAAAATTCAAAGATGATCAAAGTAGAAAAGTGAGAGTATCACGTCTTGTACCTACAAATACTTGCTTGGATGTTTAAATTGCGAAAAAAACTTGCGAAAAATTGCTTAGGGGTGGAGTTTCCGAAAGGATAGGGGCTGCTGCGGCGGATCGTCTAAACGAACTTGTTTTAGCCACACCCCGATAATGGCCTGGTATATTACGGACACAAAAAGCTATGATTTTTGGAAATGTCAATTTTTTTATTAGTTGACAGTTTTGGAAAAATTTTGATTTTTTCCGAAAACTCTGATAATAAGGGCTTACTCAAAAAACTTCATGTTGATTGCCTAAATTCATAATTGCATGTGACCAGTTTTTTGTAGAAAACGTTATGGCCATCAAAAAAGTCAGTATTTTGAAAAATTGACCGTTTTTGAAACTTTTCGATGTTTCTCAAAAACTACCTTCTCAAGTTAAATGTTCAATCGAGAAACCTGGTTTGAGGAATCTTCTCTGTTTAAGTAGCCACGCCTAAAGTATGAAAAAATTCCATGGATTTCGAAAAATAAATTTTTTGAACTTCGACCGTTGCTGAGAAAATTTCTAAGCTTTCTTAAAAACTACCCTACCAAATCTGAGATGAAGGGTTAATTCAAAAGATATGGCTGCAAGAACTTTTCTGTAGAAGCGTCGCTTTCTTAGTTATTTTTTGTATACATTTTTTTTTTTTTTTGAAGAATGTCAAACTCAAAAGTTTTCACTACTCACTTATTTTAGTAGAGAAAAAACTAAGGTTTGTTCAAAGTCCAATCTCATCGCACATCAGTATAACAAACTCAACAAATATCAATCACGTACCTCCAGCATTAGCTGGGCCCCTAGTTATCTTTTATCGAGAAATACGAAAAAAAATTTCATCTACTTTCAACATTTTCTTATTTTTTTCGACATTTTTATGTATGTGTTTTATCGCAAGTGGTGCGACGCTCCGCTTTGCCGGTGTTGAAAAAAGTCATTTAAAAGTTTTCTACAGTTATCAGGAGCTTCAATTGATGTTATTAATGAACCTGGAACTCTTTGTTGGTTATTTTTATATTTAACCTTGGTGTTGATATCTGTCCCTATTGTTCAGATTTTCGAACGAATGAAAGAAAGATTTGTATTCGGTCGTTTTTTCTCCAGAAAAGTTACGACATTTTATCTAATCGATACTGAATGGAGTTTCTGAAACTATCAAAGCGAGTTTTCACTTTTTTCATAGCTATGGGGAGATTATTTTCAAAACAAATTTAAAAAAGTACAAATTTTTTTCATTTTTTTCTTTTCATTAACGAGCAGTCTAAACAGCCAGGGTGTTATTACAAATCAAAAACAGTCCGCATTTCTTTGGACAAAAAGGTGCAATCTAAACAATCAGGGTTTTTCCCTGATACGATTAATCTTTCGCCTTGTTGTTATTACACATCGAAGATTATCCGCATTATGTATTATGAGAAAGTTGTCATGAGCTACTATTTCGATCACGCAAATAGATATTCAGAAAAATACAGGCCTTCTGAAACAAAACAGAAGCTCAATTAACAGTTTGGCTATTCTGGACTGTGTAACAGAAAAGACCCGAAACTGACTCTTAAAAGTGTCAACAATCAGATTCGAGAAATTTGACGCCGTTAAGAACAAGAATCGCCTATTTTTGTGCAGGTAGCACAGAATTTTCCGACCATTTTCTTAAAAAACATTTAAATTTTCTAAAATTTTTTGTTCAATTTAGTGCCGGGTCTTCTGTACGTGGTGTGGTAAAAAGATCAGACTAAAGTCTAGAATTTAGACACATTCGACAGTCACAAGACTAAAACAACTTCACAAATAACTTTATTGGGTTAAAACAAAAGCTTCGCAGCTAGTCCCACTACACTATAATATGCCTGCTATTTCTCTTTTCTCGCTCAATTTGATCTGCAACTTAAAAATTTTAACCAAATTTTTCTCAACACTGGGACAATTTTTTGAATTTTTAAAATTTAGTTTGAATTCTGGGTGAAGGGACTTGAATATGATATGTTACTTCACACAATTTGATGATTTTTTGTGGTAGCTGATTTGATTGACAAAAAAATAAGCCTGCTAGCTCATTTCTTCCGCCCGAAAATACATCAAAAATTGAAAGAGTTAAATAAGTTTTTCTCGCCCCGGCTTTTATCAAAACTTTTGATTTTGTTCAAATAACGACTGAAAGAGCGCTAATATAATACATCACTTGACCCATTTTAATTATGCCACATGCGAGAGCAAGTATCTTTTAATCGGCAACTAGACTTTTTTCCCGTAAATAATTTTTCTTACATGAAATTGAACTTGCTCTATTATTTAAGCCTGAAAATTTTAAGATTTTTTCCCAGCTACCTGAAGGTAACGCGGTTGCTTTTGCAGCCTAAGCTGTGGGGTTGTATTAAATTTGTTCTCCGATAAAAATTGAATTGTCGAATTTTCGTTTGTCTGCTCAAGTGTTGTCGGCTTAATTGCCGCATCGCGCAAGTATCATGTTAGCTGCTAGTGCTGTTGGATGTTTTCAGAGAGGACAGCAAACTTTTTGAAGTTTTTTATCAAATCAATTTTTTTTCGGCTCAATTGGTTTTGCTCAAAGATTGTCGGCTTTATTTCCGCTTCGTTAGTTTTGTTCAGTTACTAAAATAAAATTCAAATTTCCTACTTGGCATCTTAAACTTATCATTCTTGTTTGATAAAAACAGGCTTATAAAAATGCATGGCTTAGGGATTTTCATTTTTATTTTTTTGACGCTTTCAACATTTTTTCACTTTTTGCAAAAATTTTAATTTTCCGAAAAACTATTTTACTGTTGTTCAAAAAATGGTATCAATGAAAAAACCAGTTGCACCTCTGTATATGTGTGCCTTTATAGTCCGTTAGTCGCTTTTTGTACTTTACTTTAACATACTGTGTGCAGCTTTCGTAACAGTCTGGGGCTGGAAGGTTTGACCCAAGTTTTTGGATTTTTTCATTTTCCCAATAACTACCCTCTCAAACCCAAAACTTTTGATTCAATGGATAGAACGGGTTGTTGAAAGTTCTTCTGCGTAAGTGAGTAGCTACGCCCAGCTCCTTCCATAAAGAAATATGTCCTTCGGATTAGTCAAATATTTGATTTTTCGAAAAATTTTTGGCCAGTTTTGACTTTTCTCAAAGTTACTTTCTAAAATCTAAGAGTTTGGGTTAAACCCAACAAACAGTTGGAAAAAAAACACGCCCATATCTGAAATTTTTGGTTTATTTCAAAATTACTTTTGCGAAACTCCCTTGCATATGCTGCTACGCCCTAATTTTTTTAGACAAAAAATTATAGCCCTTGGAAAAACAAACTTTTAGATTTTTTTGTTGGTTTTTTACTTCTCTCGAAAACTACCCTTCCAAATTAAAAACTTTGGGTTCAATAGAGCGAGTGGATTGTGAGAGGCTTCCCTGCAAAAAACTTGTAAAACTTCACTTTTTTCTAAAACAAAACTTGTGGCCCTCGGAAAACTCAACATCTGGTTTTTTACCGTTTTTTAAAACTACTCAACTTTCCTCAAAAACCCCTCCAAATCTGAACTTCTGAGTTAATTTAAATTACAGGTTCCGTGCAAATTACTTCATAAAAGAGTCCGCCCAAAATTTTGTAACAGAAAAAGCTATGGTTAGCGGGAAATTCTATTTTTATCAATTTTTTTTTTATTTTAAAAAAAAAAAAACTAACTTATGAAATCTGAGATGAAAGATTCAATCAAAAAAACCGTTTGCGGGAATTGTTTGTGACATTTCCCGCAAACAGTACAATTTTGAAAATTTATATTTCATCTTACATCAAATTAGAAAAATCCAAAAATATCAAACAGCCACCTCCAGTTTTAGCTAGGCTGCTAGTGATCTTTTATCGAGACACACAACAATTTTGGTTCAACTTATTTTTTGGCAAAACTTTCAATTTTTTTCTTACGTTTTTTTATGTTTGTGTTTTATCTGAAGTTGTGAGAAGCTCTGCTTCGCCTCTGTGTTGTTTTTGGTACCTGATTTTGCGTGAAAAGCAACAGACTAAAACACCCGAATAAAAGATACCGGGTCTCAAACGACCGACCTTTTGGTTGAAACGCCTCAGCCACCGCCATTTTGAAACTAGTTTTTAAGTTAATGCTCTTTTCAATGGTATACTCGTTACTATTTGTCACTTTATGCATCTTGCATCCAAAACGGGTTGATACATAGGTTATGCAGCTGAAGAAAATGTGAAAAAGGTTGTAAGCTTTCCAGAAGTTTCCTAATTACCACGGTTTAAGTATCACGGCACTTTTCCGTTTCTTCCTTTTTTCAAAATGTCTTTGTTTTTGTTTTACGTGTTATTATGCTAAATAGGTGATGTTACGATGTAAAGTATGAAGAGCAAAAAGGTTCACAAATAGTGGTTTATTCATCATACCAAGTTTTATTGCAATATGAAAACGCTTAAGTTGTTTTTCGAAATTAAAATTCAAAGATGATCAAAGTAGAAAAGTGAGAGTATCACGTCTTGTACCTACAAAAACTTGCTTAGATGTTTAAATTGCGAAAAAAAACTTGCGAAAAATTGATTAGGGGTGGAGTTTCCGAAAGGATAGGGGCTGCTGCGGCGGATCTTCTAAACGAACTTGTTTTAGCCACACCCCGATAATGGCCTGGTATATTACGCATGGCTGAGTTTTTCCGCAGGCCGCTGTCATCATTAATCATAACATGTTTATTAGAACACTTTAAACAACGAAACTCAGGGAGAGTTGTAAATTATAAAAAACGATACAAAAATCTCTTTTTATTGATCATTTAATTCTAAAATGCGTATCGTAACTGAGCTTCAAGCTTTGTTTGTTCAAATTTTCCTTCAAATTTTCACCATTATATTGAGAATATTTATGTGCTTTTGTTGCACGTGCCTTAAAAATGCCGTATAAAACAACAACGTTTTCGCGTTTTGGTAGTACCATGATAGCAAACGCATGAATCAAAACTTCATATATATTTTGTTGATTTTTGAATGCGTGATACTCAAATTCTTTGATTATTATTGTGACGACTAAGTGATACATGCATTTTCAGAAGTAAAACACCTCACCTAATATTTTTTGATCGGCGCCATATTTGTAGTGATTTGCCATTTTGCACAAAACTTGTATTAGGGTTTTATCAATATTCAATTTAGTTACGAATTATTAACATTTCTCTCAATCAATAGCAAAAATGGACCCGCAAAAATCTTTGACAACTGACTCTGAAGCCAAGAGTTATATGGCAGAAAAAGAAATTCCACAACTTTTCGAGGTAACAAAATCTTTCATCTCATTTCCAACACCCCCCCCCCCCCACCTCACAGAAAGCATCAATTTTCTGGTGTAACGAGTGGTTTTTTAAGGTTAGGTATTCGACCAAATATGCGGCTCTTTTGCAGTTTCCCCGCCCCTTGTAAAGTTACAACATAAAGTGGTTTAAAAATTGCTCATACGGCAATCTACATTTAAGAAATGTAAAAATTATTTGTTTACTTGTACACGCTGAGACGTTTTACTGCATTTAAGGGCTCTTTTCCAGTTCCCCCCTTTCAAAATACCGAGTTTTATGTTTGTTTTACGTGTTATTACGGCTAAATGCGTGATGTTACGCTGTGAAGTATGCAGAACAAATCTGTTCAGAATTGTCGATTTGTTCACCACGCCAAATTTCCTTGCATTATGACAATGTTAAATAGACTTTTCAGTATTGAATTTGAAAGGGGGGATTAAACTGGAAAAGAGCCCACTTAAGAAAACCATAGGACGTTTTTAATAGGCTCTTGTATTGATCTTTGGAAAAAACCAAAGGGGGGGACTGGAAAAGAGCCAAATATGCTTAGCCTTTTTAATTTACATGTCACTTCTTCGGCTCTTTTTCCGGGCCCAATTACTTTAACAATCGAACACCCTGTTCTAAATTTTATTAGTAATGTATCACATCTGGAGGAGAAAACAAAAAAATCCAATTTTTCTTGAGGTATTTGCAATGATTTTTTGTCTTTGGAAAAAAATGAATAAAAACAAACATATTGTTTTACAATTCAATGTCATGGGCAAAATTTTACATTATTTTTATAGATCAGAAATACCAAATTGCTTCCGACGAGCAGAGTTTGGGTTTCTTATGTTGAATGTTTTAATAATTTTAACAATGTTCAAAATAATTTTTACAAAAAACGGAGTTTTTTTTATTTATTTGCAAAAGCTGGAAAACTATGGAACTGTTGCTTTTGCATTAACTTTTTGTTAGAGTTTGTAATTTTTTTGATATTTAGGAAAATTTTATGAGTTAATAACTAGGTAATTAGATTGATGCTTTACGAGGTGGACCTAATTTTTGACTAAACCACCTGCTTGTTGGCTTTTTTCCCGTACCCCATGTGATTTTTTCTGAAATTAGATTTATGAAAGCCTATTTTAAATGAACTTGATATGTTCTAAACTGCAATAAAACGTGTGAACGTGAACAAGTGAACAATTTTTTACAACTTTTTTTTCATGAAAATTGCCATATAAAAACTTTCAAGAAATTTCACGTTGTAAATTCACAATGGGGGGAGGTATAGGAAACTGGAAAAGAGCCTTCTTGTTTCATTAAACTATTATCAGAGCATGATGACTGGACTTATGTACGCCCGCCCAGCAAACCCACTTGAGTTTTTGGAAGAATGCATCAGTAAGTCGAAAGTGATGGGACCAGAGAAGCTGACTTGGGACTCTTTTGCCCTGAAGAAGGACCCTCTGCCCCCCATTTCGCCACGTGACCCACAAAGGGAGCAATCGTTCATCACTCAAAAAGAAGAGGAGCAAACTGAAGAAAAGAAAGCTGAAAATACTCAAGGTAAATTTAGCTCGTCTACCGTTTAAAAACCACTAGCAATTTTTCCTTCATAAACAGCAGTTTTATCGATTTTACGAAGTTGTACGAGGACAAAATTTTTTAAATTGCTCAATGCAGCCAAATGTCAATTTAAAAAGGTTGACAATTTTTCAAACTTTTTTTAAAGTCAGCCTTTTGAATTTTTTGTTCTTACGTTATTTCGGCGCGCACTCTTTCCTCAAAACTAGTGTACATTGGCGCCAAAGCCGTTAGGTTGTTCGGGTTGCTGAATTGATAGTAAAATAAAATGAGTATGAAAAGATGGACACTTTTGAAAGTTTGGCCACCAAAATTGAGGAGCTGACTCCTGGTTCAAATGAAACTGATTTCGAAAATTTTTTTTGAACATTGGGAAAGTTTCATATTTTTGGTGAAATTTCCTCTCGGATTAAGTCCTTCAACAGATAATGTATCAAATTAACTTAATTTTTTTTACTGGAAGTTGTTCCGTCGATTACTTTGAAAAAATTTAATGGCTGATATCCGAAGAAGTCGATTTTGAACAAGTCAAACCCGAAGAAGTCAAAATAAACGGATATCAAAATATGAATTTCTAGCTATTTTGAGGAATTTTTTAAAATATTCTCAAAATGAGTATTTTATTTTCAGCCAGTTCATCATTGAACCCATACAATGCGTTGCCGCCTATTAAATCAGAAGCGGACCAGCCCTCCACCGGTGAAGTAGAAGAATCGACACCCGAGCCGGTGGGAATTCTGGCAGCCACACTACCGCCAGAGATAGATTTGAAAGACACCAAGTTCACACTGGAGAAGGGAAAGAGCCCTGTTCTGTGTGTGCTCATAGGTATATTTATTCTATACTCTTTATTTCAAATATCTCTACGCTACTTTTTGTTCGAAATATAATCAATTATTGACAGTAAACTAAAGCAGCAATGAAACAACATTTATACAATAGAAAAACAAATCAAAAGTTAGCTGCAATGAAAATTAATTTAATCTCAAAGTTTAATTTAAAAAAATTATTAAATAAAAAAATGAACAAAAAGCGTCAATGACTGGGGCGGATTTAGGATTTTCTCGAGGGGGGATTTTCAAAAAAATTTCGAAATTTAGCCGACTTTTTTTTGGTCGACCAAATTGAATTTCCGAGCTCTCCCAAAGCACTACTAACACTGTTTTGGCTAAGATTTCTGCGCCGCAGGTAAAATTTTGAGAAAAATCAGGCCAAAAAAGGCTCCCCCCTTAAAATTAGTATATATTGGCGACTAAGGAGCTTTTAGAAAAATTTTAGGGTCCATCACCCAAAATCGATATCTCAAAGAAGTACAAAGGGGGGACCCTTTGGGTCGGCAGGGGGTTGAATCCCTGAAGAAAAAAAAAGCGTATCCCCAGCCCCCCCCCCCTTCCACCCTAAATCCGCCCCTGGTCAATGAAATATAGTTTGCAAAAACGCGAGCAGTTTTTATCTAAGCTTATACTCATTGTGGGAACTGAAATTTCTATAACTATTTATTAGAAAACTCACATAGCAGAAAGTTCGTTTATCAGGGACGGTGGGTTGTGGAAAGGAGCACCACTTTGCTTCCTTGAAGGACGACTTCGGCCTGGCCATCATTCGGCTGGGAGACCTGTTGGACCAAGAGGTCAAGTCAGGCTCCGAAGTGGGAAACTCTATCAAGGACATGGTGAATGCGGGTGAACAGATTCCAGATGTAAGTTCTGCTTCCGGAATAACCTCTGAAAAAATTCCCAGGGTTTTAGAACCTGTAGCAGGTTAATTTTGCTCGAGAGACGAGAGTTCATTAGAGACCTGGCGTCGACACGATTTGAAGAATGGGCGGAAAACACATAAGCATCTGCTTGATTATCTTCCACCTAAACCAACTCGTCTAATTTTTTTGACGCCACGGAATGAAGAAATTTTTAAAAATTTAATTAAAACTCAAGGTCGACCTCTTTTCAATGCTAAGTTTCTTGAAGCTGTTAACAAAAGTAACTTTTTGAAATGTTGTTGGCAGAATATTTCTGTGGAATTGATCAAAGCGGAGATGTCAAAAGTCGGACAAGTTTACGGCTACGTCATTGACGGGTTCCCGAGGTCCATTGAGGGTCTATCCCTTTTTGAAGAACAGGTAAACTTTTGTTCAGAGTGTGGTAAAGTAGACATGTCATGAAGTAGACGCGTTGTGTAGAATTGAGATAAGAAAACAAACTTACGAAATACTTGTGAAGTGCGGTCAAAAAGTAGACAAAGTCGTGAGCCAATCAAAGTCGAAAAAAATACTTTGTACGTTTGTTTTCTTGATTCTGACCGGCTGACGACTTTGTCCATTTTGTGACTGTCTTTTTTTGCTACGTAACCGCTTCTTGCTCATATAATTCGACGAAACAAAAAATTACAATAGCCGGTAAATTTTTTTAAAGTCGTTCGAATCATAACTGGAAGGGGATCAATATGGTACATCTTTGAGCCCAGTCCAATAATTATTAGTGGTACCTGACTTTGCGTGGAAAAAAAGGAAGAAAAAACTAAAACACACCTGTATTCAAAGTTCCTCCCCCTTTTCTATGGCCAGAACAAAAAACCAAATACACAAACGAACTTAAATTAATTTATGATGGGAAGTGGTCCAAAATAAGGAAAATCAAGCCCTGGATTGGCTACAGTGTTTCATGAGTTTCGTTGACTGGTGGATTATTGGAGGATTTTTTTTACCAAGGATTTTAGTCAAACACTAAAATTCTAGGTCAAATAGTAAATCGATTTTATAGTTTTTCATTGCAATGTTACAACAAGCAAGTATTCTCTTATTTTTGGGCATGGGCACATATTGCACTTGTTAACTCATTTTCTCATGTAATTCAGGTGGGGGCTGTGACTCAGGCTGTTTACTTCGAGCAGAATGACGACAGTCTGCAAGAGACCTTAGAGGAGTCGACTCACAAGTCTGCCGAAGAAGACATCGCCAGCTTCAAACAAATCACCCAGCCAATAATATCCCACTTTGAAGAACACGACAAGTTATTCAGGGTACGTCTATTTAGTAAAGACGAATTATGCTTGAAGAAAAAGGCCCGCGTGAAAAATATAGTTCCTCTATTTACCAAGTGAACGATCACACCCCTGAATTTAAAAGGCAATTTTGAGCAGTTAGGCTTATATGTACAATGATTGCTGAACTTATTGAGAATGCTTTTGATCAAACGAATGATCTCCTTTACAAACTACATTTGGAAGGTGTTTTTGAAAGATTGTGATGAGGTTAGGTTGTTCACTTGGCACCAAAAAACAAATGTCACCAAAATGCCAAAAATATCAGCAAAAAAAAATAGTTTAATTTGATATTATCGATTTTTTTCAACGAGTTCATTCACGATTTTCCAATTTTTTCAATTGAATTTTTACCATTGCGATTAGAAAGGGTGTTGCAACCGTATTAAATTAATTTTCCTGTAACAAACTATTCACGAGATTTCGCGCGTGAACACTTAACATGTGTTTCAACTTGCTTCATAGAAATTTCAATGTCAGTAAATCATCCAGTGCTTCTCTTCATGCAGAGGTAACACGCCTGCTTAAGACAAAGGCTTGTGGTTTGAGTCCAACCGGGACCGGTTTTTTTGCAAACAAAACATTTCTGCTTGTTTGGACTATCATTTGTCTATTTCTTTTTGTCGTCGGCTTATTTCCCGTAAAGTGACAATTTTTGAAGTTTCATTTTCTTTTAAAAATTTTAATTGCAATTTCTAAAACACCGTTGGTTGAGGTAGGTCACAAGGTTTTTTGAGGTTGTCTGAGGTTCTTTCTTCATCCAACAGACGTAGCTTGATCAAATCTGCATATCAGATACGGTTGTTTTAATGGTTGTGTTCAATTTAGGATATTTGTTCTGTTTTTTTTTAAGAGTAATGAACGTAGTTAAGACTCTTATATAGATCTTGCTGATTTTTTTTTCGGGAAAAAGTCTTAAAATATTGATGCACTTAGGTATATATGCACTTTTTGAGTTCAATTGAAATTCATCTGCTGAAAGTGACGTGAATAGCACTCTCCAAATACGAACGTGGAAATGGCGCAAAAAACGTGAACGATTTGTAGTTTCGAAACTGGAATTTATTTTTAAGATTTCCCAGCGGAATGAAAACTCTACCTATTGATCCACTTTTCTCAAGTTGGGTTCCTGTTATCAAAAAAGCGCCAGTCATAAATTGTTCTAGAAGTTCAAAGAGCTTAAAGGGCATCAATTTTTTTCTTTGAAATTCGAAAATTGAGATTTTCCAAGAAAGTCAGTGTTTTTTATGTTGCGTTCATTACCCTTTTCCAATCTTCGATTGGCTATGTTTTCCGTTTTTCTGTGTTATTGTTTACTGGGCTAAAAATTTTTCGACTTACACCTCATTGGTTTATTGGTCTCATATTGTGCTTTTAGATGAGCAAAACACGTTTCTTATGCGTGTGAGTCTTTTGAGCTACTAATTTTTTCGTATTTTAAATTTTTTTAAGTTTTGTTTGACTCAAAAGTTGTTTGATCAAAATTGTTGGCTCTTGCACCAAAGTTTGTTGGCTTCAAAAGTTTTAGTAGATCTAGCTTTTCTCGACATTTCAAAACTTTTTTGACATAGCGGCTTTCGTCGCAAATTCTGTTTGCTAGTTTGTCATGCTATGTTTGTGTTGTTTTGCACGTTGTTTTGCATTCCTGCTTCGACTGTGTAAATAGTGATTCAATTTTAGATTTCGAGTGACTTGGGCGAATGGGACCAATGGGAGGCGGTCAAGGCCGAGGTTGCCAAGCTGGGATTCGTATCCGTCGCGGAGCTCTCGACTGAGCAGACGGAAGCAAATGTCCTCGGTGAAGCCGAAGTTGAGCCGGAGGAGGGCGAGGTTAAAGAGGATGAGATTGCCGCCGTGGAGGAAGTCGCGATTACGGGGATGACTGAAGATTCGGTTCCCCCGTCGGAACTCAATGAAACCGCCTTTGTCTGTCTAATATGTGAGTGATAATCACACATTATTTGCCATTAAAATTCATCTTAGCCTAAAAAAATAGCCTCAGTGCTTGCAGCAAGCGCGCCAAGGAAAAGTTTTGAATAGAATAGCTTGATAACGACGAAAATACTAATAGATAGCAAATTATTGAATTAAATCTCAGTCAATCAATCAAATCATTTTCATGAAACATTGATCACCCAAATCGTCCGCATAATTTTTGATTATTATCGGTTTTCAAAAAAATTTTATATGATCGAGATTATGAGATGAAAAAAGATGCTAATAACTAGTGTTATTAAAACAGGTTCGAGCACAGCAGACAGTTCGGCTGTTGTGAGTTTTCTGGAGGACAGTCACGACTTCAAGAAACTCAAAGTGAGCGATGTGTTGTCGGCCGAAGCCCAGACCGAGTCCCCCCTCGGAGCAGCCCTGAAGACCACTATGCTGCAAACACAAGATATTCCCCATGTTAGTGTCATTAATTACATTATCCTTACATAATCAGAAAAGTCTCGTTATAAATCGAACTAGTGCTAAGATTTTACTAAACAAAGCGAAAGGTTTTAAACCAGTTGTGATTACAAATTTAGTGTTTTTTCTCATGAATTTTATTTTCTTTGACATGAATTTTGTTTTTTGACACGAACTTTAAATGCCTCTATCCTGTTTTATTCCTCCGGTGATTTTCAAAACTTCCACAAAACTCAATCAGCGTTTGAGGGTTTTTCATGTTTTTCATTACTAATTTGAGAAGTAATTCCATTGTAGCAAAACCACAAAATCTCCATTTTTGATATCCAAAAACGAAGAGAAGTGGGTGATTTTTTTCTAGTTAAAAGGTGACCCTTTTTTGTTGCAGGACATGGCGCTGGCAGCTATACTGGGAGCAGTTCTGAAGCACTCGGGATCCGAGAAGATCCTCCTCGAGGGATTCCCAAGGTCCACCGACCAGCTGGAGAAGTTCGAAAAAGTGGTCAGTTGTTATCATAGTTAGATGAGCGCCGAAAATAGCGTTTTGTTCCCAAAAAAATAGCCACTGCGCAAAAATTTTTGACAATTGTCGACTATCTGGGCTTTCAGAAGAGCGCCGAAATCTTTACTGTCGGTTATTTTAGTTTTTGCTAATCAACCGAAAAGTACGTTCAAATTCGAGTCAGTTTATGAGCAAATTTTATCAAAATGAGCCTCTTAAACAGCTCAACAAAATTTTAGAAGGATATAATGTCGAAAAATCTGTTCAATAGATTATAAATTTGTACCCCATTTATAGCCAACAAAAAGTATTTAAACTAATTGGAATTCCAATTCTTTGCTTCAAACGTTTTTAAACTTTTTGCGCCAAATTGTGAACATTTTAGTTTTCTAGAAGTTTGTTGAGCTGAATAAGAGGCTCATTTTGATAAGATCTGATGAACCAGTTTTTGATCTAAATTTTTGGTTACCGTAAACGAAATTGCCGCAAAATAATTTTGGCGAATTTCTAAGCTATTTCTTATTTTCTTCGCTAACTGTCTAATTTCAATCCAATTTGAGAAAAACGAATTCAAAATTTCCAATTTTGTTCATTTTGTCTGGATAGTTTTAATCAAACCTGTATTCAAAGAGCACTAAATCGCCTTTACCAGTTCATCAGCTCTTGTAAAGCAGGAATTGTTTGTCCACTAACTATTTAATTACAATTTTGTTACAACGAATTTCGTTCATGTTGAAATAAAACAGATTTTGTGAAAGTTTATAGGATTGAGTTTTTTGTTCCTACTTTAGTAACGAAAGTAACGTATTATTTGAGCTCGGGGTGGTTTTTTCTTCAGACAATTTTCGACTTTTTAACTAGCCGTTTTTGACGGACCTTTTTATAAAATAACTAAAAAATATTGTTGTCCTGAGCTTAAATTTGAAAAACTATTTTGCCTGTAATCATTTTTTGTAAAATTATGGAGGTTTAAAGATTGCCCTTTTGCCCAATTGGGTACAATTAACGCGCGATATATTTCGCGCTATTAACGCGTGAGCGGAGATTCAATCTATCTTGAAACTTGTTCCAAGGAAGGAAGTTTGTTTGCCATAAATGATTTGTTAATAGGAGCGAAATCTATCACTTTGTACTTTATATGGCGTATGGGGGATGGTTTTTGCAAAAATCTTTAATTAAAAAAGTTTAATTTTTTTTACATTTAATTTTTATGTTACTTTATTTTTTTTACATTTAATTTTTCATGTTATTACTGTTCCATAGACCTTAAAAGGCAGTCGGAACATTCAGGGCATCGCCCTGATACGAGCAGTCTTGTTTCTCTTTCTATTTTAATAATTTTGCGCAACTCACACGCTTTCTTTTCACCAAAACAGAATCAATGATAAAAACATTTTTTTTCTGTGAGCCTGTATAGTCCGTTATCTCTCTTTGCCTTACCCGGCTCCCTAGAGTCTTGACAAAGTTCAAGCTCAAGGGATTGTTGACCCGTTTTTCGGCTTTGTCTTTTTTCTTCAAAATGACATTGCCAATTCTGAGCATGAGCGGAGGTGGTTGCCTGGTAAAAGTAGGAAAACCGATATGGAAATTAAAATCGTCCAAATTTTGACATTTTGAAAAGTACGCATTACTTTTTGCATATTTACAACATAACCTCAAACATGTCTTTAATCAAAATTCCTCAGGCTTATAAAAAACAACTCATTAACGAAAATAGCACGCGTTGTTTTTTTCGTCAAAAACTTGATTTCTTGAGACACAATAGCCATACGAGTAATAAATTAACATAATTGGGGAGTTTTGACCTGCTAGTTACTAAATAACATGTTTATGATAATCATATTAACAGTTTTATGATTTTGAGGCAAAATCATATAAATAGTCTGAGGCGGATCTAGAATTTTCTCGGTCGACCACCAAATAGATTTTCCGAGATCTCCCAAAGCACTATGAAGACCGTGTTTTGGCCAATTTTTTTGCAGCGCAGGCAAGTTTTTGAAAAGAAAAAAGGCACAAAAAACGTTTTTTTTGGCACTTTTGAATCCGCCACTGTACTTTATCACAGAAAGAGACAAGAAGTTGCATCGTATGAGAGAATTGTATAAAACCCTTTTATATGGACACTGCTGGCAATTTTGTGCCAAATCTTTACTCTTTGATCGACAGGTTTGATTGATTGACATTTTTTGATTGATTGACAGGTTGGGCCTCTGAGTTTTGCAGTGTTTTTGGAAGAAGAGTCCGAAGATATGAAGGAAGTGTTCAAGGCCACTTCTCAGTTGTCCGAAGAAGAAATCGAGGCTGAAATTGCCAGCTTCAAAGAGAACGTGGCCCCCGTTCTGGAACATCTGGAGTCCAGAGGACTCCTTTGCAAGGTAACCCAGCAACAAACAAACCCAGTTTTATCCAAAAAAAACTTTTCCGATAGATTCTCGTCGACCGCTTGCAATACTTTTCTTCGCTGGAAAATTGTACAGAAAAATTTCGTGGAATCCAAAATCTTTAAGAAAAAAGAAAATAAACTCACATATTGAATCAAATTTGCGTTGACCTGAAGGATTCGAATCCATTTTTTATTAAGAGTCATGAAAGTAGCGATTACTCTTATATAGGTCTTGGTGATTTTTTGTTTTTCTTTCATGAAAAAGTCTTATAACATACAATTGTTTCAGATACCAGTCAAAGATTTCAGTACAGAAAATGAGTCACTCACTTCGTGTCTTGCAGACTTGAAGCTAAGTAAGCTGATAACTTTTTCGTTTTTTTTTTCAACAAATTTGCCAACATTTTGGTTGTCATCATTTATCTGGCTGCATGTTTTCAGACAAATTGGAGAAAGCTTCAATCCACGAGCTTCAAAATGAATTGACTATGACATCGGCTGCTGCAGGTAAATCAAATACTTTTCCATCATTCGGCCTGTGAAATACGGCGCCAGCATATACTCGACATGAAGCGCGTGTCAAAAAAGCATTTTTTGAGTTTTTAATCAAAAATTTTCCAAAAGTGTTCAAAAATGGCAATTTTGGTCCGGTTTTTTCTTCAAAAATTGCCTAAAAACTCGAAAAAACTTTTTACATGGAAAATCCGCATCCCCGCAGAAGTCTTAGACTTGCGCTTGTTTTTCACAGGTTGAAATATCATTTTAGAACTACTCTTGCGACAGTAAGTGTCCTGTAATCGGGAACTAGACTTGTTTTCCTCATAAGCAATTTTTCTTACAAATCGGTAAAAACTCGAAAGTTGCTTTATTAGTTAACCTTAGCAACTCAGAGACTCCTTCCCACTTGACCTATTGGTAACAATGTTGCCTTTGTACCTTATGTTCTGGGGTTCGATTCCTGCCTGACCTTGTTTTTTCATTATGTATGAAATTGAAAAACTTTATCCGGGAAAAACTGAATTGTTGGCTTTCGTGTATCTGCTCATGTTTTGTCCGCTATGTGGCCACATTGAGGAACTTGTTTGTTTGTTTATGTTTTATGAGTTTAGTTACTGTTGTTTCTTTTTGGAGACAAAAATGATTGATTTTTTCTGAAAGTTTCAGGTAGTTTGTGTTGCAAGATTTCAAACTTTTCTAATTGATCAAAAATTTTTTAAAATCATTTTCTTCTGATTTTTTTTGCTCTTGGCTAAATAAGCGTTTACCTACTTGTTGTCGGCTTAGTGGCCCCTTTTCAATAGCTAAAAGTTTTTGATTACTGGGGGTTTAGTTTATCGACTATTTTTCTAAAATCACTTTCATTTTTTTTCAACTATTTTTAATCTTGCGATAAGCAAGGTTATAACAATCGAGTGGTACTAAACTTTTTGTTTCCCGTAAGCAACTTTGCCAACAGAATAACTGAAATTTGAGGTCATCTCCAAATGATTTCTACCCAATTTTTCTGCACAACTATTTCAATCAACTTATACGTCTAAAAGCTGTAATTTAACAGCTGGATTCAGACGTAAGTCGAGTTTTTTGTCGGCTTTATTTTCTTCGACCCAATTTTTGTCGGCTTACTTGCCGGATAATTATTTCTCTAATTTTTGGTTAGATTTTTGAAATACTTTTTTGTCTTCATTTTCATTAGGGTAAACATAGTTCATGGTTTTCTGGTTTTTATAGGCGCCAAAATGTTCTGTTAGAAATAAAACTTTTTTTAAATTTTCTGCAGGATTTTTCTTGCAATGTATAGTCTCTGATTTTTTTTCTAAAAGTGCAAGAAATTAGTTAGTTTAAATTTTATTTAACTAAATGTATATTAGGCTTGAGCAATTTTATTTAAAATTGGTTGAAGTTCATAGCTTAACGTATTGTTTTAATATGTCGATAAAAAATGATAAATTTCCAGATTTTTTTTTGCAAGAATGGCTCGACTGTTTTGTCTGCAAAGGAATGTGACGGCAAATTCTGCCCGAGATCCAGGAGTGTGGTTCATTCTGGCTGAAATTTTTGAAAATTCTTTGTTGGCGGTTTTATCTCTTCTATTGTCGGCGGTTTTTTTAATGTTATTTTTGTTGTGATCTATCTTTTCTTACCGTTTCCGATTAGTTTTCATTCTTCATAATTTTCGATGTAATTGGGTTATTTTTATACTTTTTTAGAAATTTTTCGGCAAGTTCTTATGTGTGGCAAGTGTTTGTAATTTTTGCAGTCATGTTTTTGAATATTCGTTTTTCTTTTTTTTCTTTTCGTTTTTTTTTCTTTCTGTTCTTTTAGTATAACAATTAGCGGATATGGCCCTTCACCCCCGATGACTCTTGTTGGGTAGGCAAATTGTTTGGTTGCAAGATTTATTGAACAGTTTTTGAGTACATTTGGAATTTTTTTGTATCTCAATTTTTTTGATTGAAATGTTTTCTGATTGTTTCCATCTATTCGATATCAGAAAGAAATGGATAAGCCCAGAATGGATATATGGAGTTTTATTGTGTATCGCAAAGGGTGCGAAGCTCAGCTTTGCCTCTGTGTCGGTTTTTCTATTTCCGTCTCATTTCCTCTTTGCTAGCTTGCAATGCTACGCATGCGTATTGTCGCAAGTGATACGAAGATCTGCTTCCCCTCTGTGTAAAATTATTATAACTTTAATGTTGTAACCTAAGGAAAGTGGGAGAGGCACCATATTAAAAGACATATATTTTTTTGGAAAAATTCATTCGAATTTGTTAACTTATTTCTTGACGTCAAGAGCGTTTCCCACAATTTCAGATAAGCTTGTCATTTGTCTCTCAAGGTTTTGTCTCTGACATTGCTTTGGCTTCAAAAACTGAATATCAACTTTGAACAAAGTTTATACTTATTTTGCTGTGTTTTCAGCCAAAATCCCCGAGAGTGCAGACATGAAATCAGTGTTTGAGAAGCTTCCGATTGTATTTGTGACCGGAGGACCTGGAAGTGGAAAAGGCACTCAGTGCGACAAAATCGTGAAGGAGTTTCAGTTCACCCATTTATCTTCCGGTGACCTTTTGAGGGCTAAAGTCGCCTCTGGATCGCCAGATGGACAGGAGTTAGATGAGATGATGAAAGCTGGTAAATTGGTACCTCTGGAAAAGGTACTAGAATTGATCACAGAAGGTATGACAGAGGCAGTGGCACAGGGATCTTGTAATGGATTTCTAATCGATGGGTATCCGAGAGAAATCGAACAGGGTACAAAGTTCGAAGAAGTGGTGAGTGGGCTCAAAAAACATCTTTTTGCGCTATTTAAAAAAATGTACCAAATGTTGTGGTACTTAAAAATAAAACAGTTTTATCGCCATTAGTAATTGTAAAAGGTTTTTTCATAATTTTGTCGCATGGGGAGCTAGAGTGAGCCAAACTTGATTGGAGTTTGAACAAAACTTCAAAAACTACGCTTCTGGAGCATGTTTAAGCTCACAATCCCATTCGATAAAATTATGCTACAGCTTTTTGCTGTGGTTCTTTTTTAAATCTAGACATTTTAATTGTTGGTAGTTTATTGTTTTTAGATCAAACCATGTTCCTTGGTCATTGATTTCGATGTTCCGGATGAAGTGATGGTACAGCGCTTGATCAAGAGAGGCGAAACTAGCGGACGACAAGACGACAACGAGGAAACCATCAGAGCCAGACTGCAAACATACAGAGAAGCAACTGTTCCCGTGGCCGAGTACTACGAAAAGCAGAACAAGCTCGTAAAAATTGATGCAAATCGAGACGTCGATGCTGTTTTCACTGATGTAGCTTCTGCATTCAGCACGAGGCGTAAGATTTGCAAAACTGTATTCCTAAACACATTTTTTGATGGCAAAACTGCAATTGCTTGAAAACTTTTTCTCTGTCCATTTGGATAACACTCAATCCGTTGTAACATTAAACTTTTTTGTTTTTGTTTAGTTCACATGACCAAAAAATCAATTAAGGATCAATTAGAAAAGCTGCCAATCGTATTTGTCACTGGTGGACCAGGCAGCGGAAAAGGAACTCAGTGTGACAAAATCGTGGAAAAATTTCAGTTTACACATCTATCATCCGGCGATCTTTTGAGAGCCAAAGTTGCATCGGGTTCACCTGATGGTCAAGAGTTAGATGATATGATGAAAGCTGGCAAATTGGTACCATTAGAAAAAGTTTTAGATCTGATTACAGAAGGAATGACAAATGCAGTCGCACAGGGTACTTGTAACGGGTTTTTGATCGACGGATATCCTAGAGAGATTGAACAAGGCACCAAGTTTGAAGAAAAGGTACTTAAATGTTGAACTTGTATAAAATGCATGATAATTGGGCGTCTGAAAGAAAACCCGGCTCGTTTTATTTTTCCTCCACCTGCCAATTTCTACAAATGAAATGATTGTTCACATTATCCGATAATTTAAATGGGCAGCCGAACTAATTAAGCCATGATAGGCTGTTTTGTTTATCGTAATTAAGTTTGTTAAACTACTGGTTACACAATAAGAAAAGAGTTATACGAGTTGGAGGAGCCAAAAGCCTTTATACGATGTTTTTTGAAGCGGAAAAATTTCGGTTTTAATTTTTGCTCAAATCTCCGCTTTTTCAAATATGTAAACTGATTCTTTAGAATGAGGTGAATTCTGTTTTTTTTTGCACAAAGAATTTATTTTTGTTTCAGATCAAACCGTGCTCCCTGGTCATTGACTTTGATGTTCCTGATGAAGTGATGGTACAACGCTTAATCAAGAGAGGCGAAACTAGTGGAAGGCAAGATGACAATGAGGAAACCATCAGAGCGAGACTTCAAACATACAGAGAAGCGACAGTGCCAGTGGCCGAATATTATGAAAAGCAGAACAAGCTTGTCAAAGTTGATGCCAACAGAGATGTCGAGCAGGTTTTTGAAGACGTTACTACAGCTTTCAAAGATAAATGTTAGTCCGTATTTCAATTTTTTTGCTTGCCTCATTAGCTCCAATTGATCAAATTGAATATGAATTCGATGTTTTAGTATCACTCGGCCACGCTTCGACTAGTGGCGACAAACTCGCAGCTCTCCCAATAATTTTTGTCACTGGTGGACCCGGAAGTGGTAAAGGAACTCAGTGCGACAAAATTGTGAGCCAGTTCAATTTTACTCACCTTTCTTCTGGTGACTTGCTAAGAGCAAAAGTAGCATCTGGCTCCCCTGATGGACAAGAGCTGGATGGGATTATGAAAGCGGGTCAGTTAGTGCCCCTGGAGAAAGTCCTCGATTTGATAACTGAAGCTATGAAAACCGCTGTGGAACAGGGGCCCTGTCAAGGATTCCTCATTGACGGATACCCGAGGGAGATTGAACAGGGTACAAAATTCGAAGAAAAGGTCAACAAAGTTTGATTTGTTAAGGATATCTTAGGAGCGAATTTATGAGTATGTCTACAAAGATATACGAGTTTGCTTGTTTTTTGATAATGAGTTCAAGCAAGAGCTCTATTTTTTGAAAGAAAAAAATGAAAACTTCGAAACCAAAATTTTTCATATAACAAACTGAATAATCCTTTCATTTGATTTCATGTATCTTTCTTTTTTGGATAATTTAGCAAATAATGTAAATTTTTGATGTCTTTACGGAGTTTTTTTTTCAGATCAAACCGTGTTCCCTAGTCATTGACTTCGACGTGCCTGATGAAGTAATGGTGGAGCGCCTGATTAAAAGAGGAGAGACAAGTGGAAGACAAGACGACAATGAAGAAACGATCAGAGCCAGACTGCAAACATACAGGGAAGCCACTGTTCCCGTGGCCGAATACTACGAAAAACAGAACAAGCTTGTCAAAATAGACGCTAACAGATCAGTTGACGAAGTGTTCGAAGATGTCGTTAAAGCGTTTGCCACTATTGGTGAGATATTTTCGCATTTCGTCTAACAAGTTTTTCAAGAAATTACGGCCAGCAAAATTCCTGATATGTTAAAAGTCTGCTCACAAATTAACTATATGAGCAAAATTTCTTGTTTTTTTCCTAGAAAATTTTAACATTTTGTCGACAAAGTTCTATTATTTTAAGGCCAAATTCTTCCAAAACTTTTTAAATGCCAACAACAACATCCGATACCTTAGAGGGCAGTAAAAGCATTCAAAACTTTGTCCAGATCCGAGCAATTTTTTTTTGGCTTCAGCTGCCAGCAATTAGCATGCAATCTAGATCTCGAAAAAAATCGTGGTAATTCAGCAGTATCCATTTTCAAAGTTAAAAATATAAAATATTTGCAGCAATCTGCTATATTTGAGAAAAGCCAGAATAACTTGTACAGATTGCCGCTGAGATACGATTGAAACAGATTGAAATACGAATCAGGCGCAGACTTTTTAAGCAACAAGTTGGAAGCCTAAGTACACATTTTTCCACCAGTAACGTAAAATTAAAAAATAAGGATTGGTCATGACAAGTTTTATTGAAATTTTTAAACTTAGTTACAGCAAGTTGCATTTATTCGTGGACGTGTCTGATAATTTTATCCTTAAATAAGCTAGTATATTGCCTCGGTCCAATGTGTCATCACCAATATGGAAAATTGAGGAATAAGTAACAAAATCCATTTGGCAGCTAGATTCAGTTGGGTGGTATCATTGTGCCTTAATACAAATCCTTTTTGAGGATTTTTGATAATATTTTGTGCTAAAAGTATGCAAATTTTTCCGTTTAATTTTTCTAAAAAAATCACACGGTCGATTTTTACCCAATTGCTAACTAACCTACAGCAAGTGGATAAAGCCGTATCTTTTGTTGTTCCAACCACTGAAAGATAGCACAAATAATCATCGGAAAAATCGATTGATATACTCTACTAAAGCGGCTTCCAGTCGTGATTCGAGCAACCTTAGACATTTTTAAAATTAATTTTGAGAATAACCGGTTTAAAATTTTGAATTTCAGTCTATTTTTGAGCTAATTGAGCAGATTGTTAATAGAGGGATCAACTTTTATTTTTAACAATTTTTTCGCTATGGAAAATTTTATCTATTTTTTTTTAAAAAAAATCATGTTCTACTTTGGTCAAAACCGACACAAAAAAAATGAAACAGATTTCTCTATTAAATTTTTTCACATGTGAACTGATATTAAGTGTTTTTTTTAACTGTAAACTATTGTCTTCCTCGATAGAAAAAGCAGTATCAAATTAAACGTGGTAGTTTTTCAGGAATTGGAGATCGAAGAATCATCAGCATTTATTTTAGGAAATCAGGAATAAATTTTTCGATAACAATGCTCTTCGTACTTTCTGGGTGATGTGTATTATTTTTTTTTGTTGGAAAAAGTTTTTGAATTTTAAATATTATTACGGAGAACTCAAAAGGGTCTATGCCGACCACATTTTTTCAGTGTTTTTTACTTTTTGTCGTTCATAAACAATTAGTGTTATTGATAATGTGATTACGTCTCAAATGGAATAGTTCGCCAATGGCTTAAGAATGAAAATTTTTCAAACGGCATAAATTTAATGCAACAGTTGCATAAAAAATCGAGAACACTTTTTTCGTCAACACTGTGAGAAAATTAGTCAAGTTGTCAATTCAAATGTTGATTAAACATTTTAACTCGACAAAATTGTAGAATTTTTTTTATCAAAAGCAAAAAACATACGTTTGCGGTTAGTGATAAGCTTCTTGTTGTCAATTTTTCCGACAAGTTGACGCTGAACATTTGTTTGGAAGCAGTTAATTCCAAATCTTGTTCACATGTTTTCGTTCCTGAAAAAATATTAGAATTAGAAATTGATCACGCTTGAATTACAATGAAAACTTGCAATATATGCCATTTGGGAAAAGTTTCATTTTTATGCCATTTGGGAATCATGCCATTTGGAAAGTTACTGATAATGTTAGTGGTTTTGCAATTAATAACAAAAACTGAACCAGAAATCTAGCAAATTCAAATTCAGAAAAAAATGCTATTTAAAGGAATCTCATTAAGGTGATTTTATATCATTTTTTTGGAGTTAAAATTGCTTTTTTGTGCTTTTTTTCAGAAAAAAACCAAGTTTTCAGTTGTTTTTTTTTGAAAATTTTTTGTTTGAATGTTCAATTTTTATCTCTAGAAATAGTGCAGGTTTTAACGCAAACTTACGTTCAACTCCACATATAAAACGAGGTTGCGTTTGGTAATCTGAAACAAAATAACTACTTTGGAACTTAAAAAATTTTGTAAATCAAGGCGAGCAATCTTCGATTAGACTGGATTTTTTGAGTGTTTGCGAACAAAAACGTAAATTTTTATAGGTGGCGAAACTTTTTTTAAAATTTAGTTGTTAATTTTGTTGTTTTTTGTTTGTGCTTACGTTCATTTGTGTTTTGATTGTTTGACGCTTTGCTTTGTAATTCATCTAACAAATGGAACGCGCATTGAAGTTTCATGGATGACAACCATATATATTATTTTTTTAAGATTAATTTTGTATAGTTTATCATAATTTTTTATAATTGATTAAAAATGGAGAGCGTAATCTTACTAATTTTCAGAGCAATATAATCTGTTTTTTCTTCATTATAACAAATTATTTTCAACAAAATTCCGTTTTTTTTGCATAACAAAAATCCTTTTCATTCGATTATGTTTGATTGAAATCAATATGCTTGTCTCTTGTTTGATTGCTTACTTCACCTGTTCAACATTTTTTTTTATAATTTTAAGTTCGTTGATTTTCTATCTTACTTCAATTCATTGAGGTTATTTCTTCGAGATGTAGAAATTTCTCCATTAACCATCAACGTTGGACGCCTAAGTGTCTCAAAAAAGTCTTTAGTTTTTATAATTTCATACAAATTTTTGCTAAAATCAAGAATTTATGATTTCATTTTCTCAGATTATGTATAAATTTGAAGTAGCAAAATTGTTAATGTTGCAGGAATGAATCAATTTTTGTGGGTTTTTTTATATAAAAAAGAAGTGGTTTTATGGCTTAATAAAAAAGTATCAGCGGAATGAAAAAAAAAATTTCAACTCGGTTGGTTTATTTGGCTCAACAACAGAGTTAAAAAACTCTGAAATTTGAAAAAATTCGGAACTAAAATTTGTTGCTTGGCTTTTTTTCCAAATATTTATTCAATTTTTAAAGGAACTCAATATGTGAATTCTTTTTGAGTTTTGAATATACTGCGTTTTGCAAATGTAATTTTGCGTATACCCGCTTTATTTTTTTGTGTATGTTCGCAAACAATTTCAGGAGTGTAAAAGGAATAAAATATTCTCTTATTTTAATTTTTTTTTTCGTGGGATGAGTTTTAGGATAAAATTTCACGCCTGACAACCTTAATACACTAAAAAATGTTGTTTTGTTTTTCGTCTCATTCACAACTATTTATGGCTAGTTTTGACCCAATGCATAGTGGAACTTCAACCACGTTTTTTTTTCGTAAATTTGACATATAGCGAGAATATCAGGAGGACTACAAATTAATTTACAAAGCCGCCCACGGAAAAGCATGGGAGAGGCTTCCAAAAGGAAAGAGGAAATTCTCTTTGAATTTCATCCTATAAACCATCAATTGCAGTTACCATTAATATTTGCTCCAATACTGAAGGCACGTTTTCCGTACACTGAAATTCATCTTTGGTTTGACGACAATTTAATCTTCATTGTATTAATGCCATGTGGTACCGATAGACCATTCACAGCTTCTGCACAAATAACCGCAAAAGCATAGTCTGTTACATTTTCACGTAACAAAAGACTGTCACTTGCCTTAGAAACACGCATGCTCGTTTAGTTTATATCTCATAAATCTAATTTACATAATCTAATTTAAATCTAGTTTTTTGTTATCTCCGAGAGTTAATTTATATCTTTGATATCTCAGAAATTGCACTTTCAATAATTAAAAGAATTCGATCTCCAGTTTTGGCCAAAAGATACCATTTCAGTTGAAATCAGAGCGATAGCTGTTTAGCAACAAAATTTACGATAGTTCTTTGCAAATTGCCAACAGTGGTCAAGTAAGTCGTCAGTTTATCAAACATTTATTTTCAGATTAATGATCAATTTCAATTATAAGATTACTCGTATCAGTGTTTTGTGGTTGAAAAATTAATCCAACTCTCTCGCTAAAGAAAACTATATATTCATTTTTTTTTCAAACGCTGGGTGGTTTTGTTTCTTAATCTGCCCCCTTTACATTGCAATTTTTCTGAATTTTATTGCATGCTATTGTGATACTGAGTGTTTCAAGTTTTATTTGCAGCTTGACTTTATATATCGATAAATTTTTCAATTTTTTTTTTAATTGTTTATCGTTTTTTTTTAAATAAGTGGGGAGAAAGTTAAAAAAAATAAGTAATGGCTTCAATTGACAACATTTATTTTTCGCATTTCCATAATAAAAAATAAATAATTCTGAATCAATAATTTTTTGAGTCGCTTTATTTCCCTGAAAATAAATTACTAACTTTCAAAAAAGTGGTACTAATTGAAAAACCATACCAAATATCAGTGGGTGAGAAGTTTTGAAATTATGGCCCGTTTTTTTTCGTTTTTTTTTCCCTGTTTTCAAAAAATATCTGCTCAAACTGAAATAAAGGGTTCAATCGATATTTTTTAAAAGGCTAATCTTTCTTGCATTAACAGCCCTAGTTTTTATGAAAAAAAGTTGTGGCATCAGAAAATGTCCAAACTTGAAATGTTTTTATTTGTAAAGTTTATAAAACCGACTTTTTTTTATAACTTTTCCGACAACTAGCTCGCCAAATCTGAGTTTAAGGGCTCACTTGAAAGAAGAGGTGATATGAATGTTATGAATCCTCCCTGCATAAGCAACTATGCACTAGTTTTCGAGGGAAAAGTTATGGTCCTAGAGAAAAAGTCCACTTTTTACATAGTTTAAATTTTTGGAAAGTTTTGACTTTAG